TACGTTGTGTGTGGAAACCTAAAGGTGATCCAGGAGCTGAACTGAAGCAGCTCGTTCATGAATACACACTTTACTTCTCTGGGCATGTCTCCCCATGATAAATGATGCACTGATGGAAACTAGCATCTTAATTTATTTTTCCCCTTGTGCCCTTTTCTTTTCAGTTCTGATTTTTACTGCCTCTGCCCCCTTGCAGAGCCTGGTGACCCTGTTATATCAGGAGGCAGCAGTACCAGCTGGGAAGGCTGGAGAGCAAGCAGGAGTACTTCCCACCTGTATTTGGCTCAGTGCAGCCTAGTCCAGGCAAAAACCCTCCTGCAGGCAGGAGAAAAGCATCCTTCAGCAGCCCCCAGAAAGTCAAGTTTTCCAGTGCATTTGGCAGGCAGCCTGGAGCAGATCATTCCTTCTGCCAGCCCTGCGGAGCACCACCCCTCACGGTTCTCCCTCCCGCTGCAGCACATACCTTACTATTATTAATAGTCCGGAGGCACCAACAGCATGCTTTGTTCAGGTCAGTATGTGGTTGCCCAAAGAGCAGGGAACTCTGTGGCAATGTATTTTTTTTTTACTAGTATTTGGATTTGGTGATGAGCGCTGTAGTTTTTCCTGGTCTTTTTTTTTTTTCAATGCACCTTCCTCTCTTCTGCCTCCCCCCTGGGCTGCCCCCAGTGCACTCAGCAGATGAAGGATGCTGTGATCCCTCCAGCAGAGGAAAGAGAAGCGCTGTTGGGACACAGAGGTGCGTGGGAGCGGCAGGCATACACGAGGTCGTAGTGCTTTGGTGGGAGCAGATCAGCTACACCACGTGAGCTGCGCAGTTCCTTCAACATGGAGCCCTAAAAATGAAATGAAGGGTGAGCAAGAGAAACAAGTCAAGAAACTAGCCAGCGGGTCAAGGGAGGTGATTCTCCCCCTCTACTCTGCTCTCGTGAGATCCCACGTGGAGTACAGCGTCCAGCTTTGGAGTCCCCAACAGAAGGAGGACATGGAGCTGTTGGAGCAGGTGCAGAGGAGAGCCACAAAGATGATCAGAGGGCTGGAGCACCTCCCCTACAAGGACCAGCTGAGAGAGTTGGGGCTCTTCAGCCCGGAGAAGAGAAGGCTCCAGGGAAACCTTATTGTGGCCTTCCAGTTCCTGAAGGGGTCATACAGGAAAGCTGGGGAGGGACTAAAAAGTCCCAAAGGCAGGTAGTGACAGAAAGGGGAAATACCTTTAAACTGGAAGAGGGGAAATTTAGACTGTATATTAGGAAGAAATTCTTCACTGTGAGGGTGGTGAGACACTGGCACAGGCTGCCCAGGGAAGCTGTGGATGCCCCCTCCCTGGAAGTGTTCAAGGCCAGGTTGGACAGAGCTTTGGGCAACCTGGTCTGGTGCTCAGTGTCCCTGCCCATGACAGGGGGGTTGGACTGGATCGCTTCCAACCTGAACCATTCTGTTATTCTGTGATCCTCAGACTTGCATTGCAAGCGTGCAGAGGCCCATGCTGTGGTTTGCTGGTGCATTACATAGTGTGTGGGGAAGTGAGCTGCTCCTGTGTATTTGGCCTGGTGTGTCTTGGCCCGAAGTCACCAACTTTATCGTACTGTCACTGTGAAATCAAGGAAAGCTTCAAAATCTGTGGCCGCTGTTTGTTGAACCATAAATCCTTAAGAGTCGTATTTACTTTGGAAGTGACAAAACTTTCAAATATATCTGCTTTCAGACCACTAAACCTAAGCAAAAAAGATATGAATTAGCATGTGAGCAGACAGCACTTTCAGAAAAAACGGTGGCTTTGGAAAGCGTGCTAACAAAACGTCCGGTCACGGGGATTCCTCTGAACTCGATGTGGAGTAAGAAGAATAGGCAGCATGCACTGAACCTCATGTTCCCCAGATTAGTAACGGTTTAATGTTATTCCTGTAACCCCTATACTTCCTCTTGTAACACTACCTCCTCCTGTTTTTCCACCCTCTGTAGTTCTACTGTTTCACCGAGTATTAGCTCGCTGTGGCACATACTTTGTCTTTTTAAATGCTTCGTGAAGTACCTAGTGCTCTTTGAGTGCCACAGAAGAAGAAGAAGTAGTAGTAGTAGTAATAATTATTATTATTAATTATAACATTAAATTATAGATAATATATCACATATAATATCTAATTCATATTATAATGCAATAAATTATTGTTGTTGTTATTATTAATTTGCCAGATGTATTGTGTCAAGTTATTCTTGTGTTGTTAGTTGTGTGGACAGAAAGTAAGGGTGACTGTTGAATGCTGATAACCCAGCTGTAAGGTAAACCTCTCACACAGGAAGGGAAATGGTGTGGTTTATTTATGAATACTCTCAGAAACAATGTCTGTCTTCCAGTATACCAGTGCATTTTTAGGGTAGTGCATTTTACTTGGCTGCGGCATCACCAAAGGTCAATAATAATCAGGGCTAAATTGCTTACAGCGCAAAGGTAATGAAACGCTCTCATTACACCGGTCATCATTTTCATTGTTAATTCAGTGTTGTTTAACTTTTCACGGGTTTCTCCGTTACAAATGTGACAGTGAGACGGCCAGGCTGAGCCATCTGCTGCCTGTGCTCGAAAGGTACAAAAAGGCACTGCAAAGAAAATTGATTGACTGCAGTTGACTGTATTGGGGAGAGACCTCACTTGAACCAGCAGTAACCACAGAGAAGTGCAAACTGGCTTTAATTCTCTAGCAGAGCGCTGCATATTAAGGATGTACACAGCAGTTGGGAGGACGCATTCAGAGTCCGGTCATGTTCAGGGTCACATCCCCTCGGCTTTCTCGTTGTCGCTGTGGTTGTTTGCAGCCAAGGGGAATTCTCTGGCTTTTGGACTTAATGTTAGATATGTAATTGGGTGGAGAATTAATGTAAACTTAAAATAATTCAGTTTCACAGTCATTATACTCAGCTTTAAATTATTTAGCTTCGTGTCTCCGGTATCTCCCAAAAGCCCTGCCATTAGCAGTCGTCTGACTCTCTTTATTAGCTTATATTTTTCCCTAAAAGCAAGGCCTCATGTACAGTGTAATTATCCAGCAGCGACGATTAACTGCATAATTCTCTTTTCTGTAAAACTGCTGTGTAAATTACTTTTCATTTCGCAAAAATGACTCGTCAGGCAATTTTGTGGAGGGTTTTTTGTTGTTTGTTTTTTTGTAAGTTCCCCTTTCCCAGCCACCCTCTCCATCACTGTGTCATGGTAATATCGTTAAATACTGCTGTGTATGATCTTGGTGCGAGCACTAAGCCCTACAGTGATTTCAGCAGGGAAAATTAAAGTGGTTTCCATGGTATTGCCCCTTCCACCACCAGACCTGATGAGCAAAACTTGCTGAGATGTCCTGCTCTTAGAGCAGGGATGTTTCTAGAGAAAATGGTCTTAATGACAAGATCAAGGAAACTTACAGGGTTGAGCTAGCTGTTGATTTCTCCTCCACTTCTTAACCTTTCAGATCACCTCAGCGGCCTGCATGGCCTATTCTTTGCTGTTGTCCCTTCCCCATTTGCCTTGGCAATGGCTCCTCACCCGTCCTCCAGCCTCCCGCTCCAAGACCGAGGAGCTCACCCACCACCTCCCCATGCCGTTAGGTATTTCCTCATGCTCCCTACACTCACCTTCTGGGCTAGATAATACTGAGATGACATGTTCTTGGGGGACTACAAAATACTCTTGAATTGGAAATGGTGATAAGAACCAGCCTACCTAGTCCTCTGATACGGAAGTCCTTCATTAAAGCTGCCATTTGGTTTTGAAAGGGCCTGTTTCACTGGTGTGTATGTGTAGGAATAGCTGACCAAAGTCTGAAATCCTTCCTACTGAGTCAGTCCAAGCAGACCCAGCAAACTGGCTGGTGTTTACCAAAAGCCCAGAAAAATGAACATTGGTATACAGTGGTTCTTGCTCTGGAATACCTACATTCTCTCCCTCTATCCATCTTCTGCTTTATAGCTTAAGAAAACTGGTAGTTTATGCGCCTTCAGCCTCTGAGGCGATTTCATGACCTTAATGTTTAATATCCATAAATGGCCTTTGTGAACCTGTCTAATCCTCCTTTGAGCCCATTTATTCTCTTGGCCTCTGCAGTGCACAGTGGCAATGAGTTTCAAGTGTGTGTTACATGAAAAAAACCACCACCAAAGTTCTTCCCTCTGTTCAGTTTAAGAAAAAAAACAGTGAATAGTCACTTCCTATTGTTAAATTTGTGGGTGTGCAGAGCTCTGCTATCTCCCCTCGGTTATCTCACAGATTTGGCATTCCCAGAGTAACGTGGTTATGGGCCAGCTGTCAAAGCTGTGGCTGAAATCATTTTCACGGGAGGGGAGTTTTCACTCTGTGCTCTTTTCTTGAGACCAAATTAATCCTAGATCTGCCATCATTTGAATCTGTTACTAAGAATAGGATGAGCTGAAGAAACATGCTTCCCGTGAACTATTCCATCACTCTTTACCTTCAGAACATCACTACAAATCATTGCTCGTGGCACAAATAGTTGCAAAGCGTGAAACTGCTGAAATGCCAGTCGTTTTATTGCTTCTAACGAGTTGGTAGCTTTTGCAGCCCTCTTTTTAAAGTATGACAAGGTGGTGCTTGTTGTTGTTCTGTTGCATGAGCTATTGGCATATCCCTGTAGAGCTCCTCATTGCTGCAGTACCAGGAACAAGTGGGATTACTGCACTAATTTTTCTAATTATTTCCAAATTTCTCTCTTTAGCTTGCATTTCTGGAGCTAATTTGTTGTCTTATTGTATTGTTTTATGTCTTTTTTTTTTTGCTTAATCCTATGCATCTGCAATTTCAGACATGTCCTTTGGCTAATGTTCTGCTTGCTGCTGCGAGTTACAGCAACGAGCAGGTGGAGTCAGATGAATAAGTATCTTTTATGATTAAAAAAAGTTGATTTAATGTCTAAAATGCAAATACATATCTTGCATTACATATTTTCCTGAGTTTTAGACTTTAACCACTTGTGTTTAAAAGGATCCTGATAGAGTTGTTTCCCTGGTTCTTCTAGTCACAGTGACCTTAACAACCAGTACTTTTGTTGACACATGGCTTGGTAAATAAAGGCTGAAATAGTAAATGGACTGTCCTCTTTGATGTGTTTCATAATGTTGTCCATCAGGCATTCGCAATACTGTTTTTAAATGTTTAATTATACTCAAAGTCATTAGAAATCTATTACATGTGTCTCACTTTGAAGGGAGAGAAGTAACCACTTCAATACACTCCTCCCCCACCCCCAATTCCACTGCAACATTGTGACTGATAGTCTTTTCTCTTATTAATTAGTTTTATTATCACAGCATAGAAATCACTGTCTCCGAATCTCCATAGGCCTTCGACTAGAGTGGCTGTCGATACTGAGGGCAGATTTTTGTGAGGCACCAGGGGACATTATTGTTCAGAGCACCATAAATCCTGTGTCTCCCCCTCTGTGTTTCAGTACACCCCTGTGCTGCAGAAGGGATTTACATCAGTGCATGCCCTAAAGAGTTGCTCCACATTAGCAATCCCTTCCACCTAATTGGAAGAAGAAGACACAAACGTGTTGCTTTGCAGCAAGGATCTGCTTAATTGTAGCAGAGGTAGGGCTGTAAACCATGCTAAGTCATAAAGGTCACAGCTTCTGTGAAAAGTTTCTCTATTAATAGTCTGAAAGTATTTTGTTTCTGCCGAGCTAGTGCTGAGAACCAAATTAGTCCCCCATTACAAGGCTGATCCGGTGAAGTCAAGGGTGTATCAGCATGCCCTGCGCTGCCTCCAGACGCCCTCCCCGGTCCCTCGCTCAGACTGCATTTTCATATATGTACGTGTGTGGCAAATGGGAGCAGAAAAATGAGTAGGCAATTTGTTGGGCAATCAACCAACCTGTAAAACAAATGAGTCTTTCCTCCCCCCTTTTTCTTTGCTCTTAAATACATTTCACAAACCACCACCTTTTTATCAATTGTGTGGAAATGCCTTGGTATCTCAGCGTCACCTGTTGCATTCAGTGTAACAGTTAAAGATATTACCACAGATAAATAAATATTCAGTGTTTGTCTTGGTATGAATCCTTTCACCAGTAAAGCAGATAGGTAGAGTTCATTCAGCATTTAATGGAGAGAGGTGGACATCTCCATCCCAGTTTAAAATGTATGTCTAAGATATGTCTAAGGTGAATTATCCCAAGACTTGCTGGTTTCTCCCTACATCAGTCTTCCTTTTGGCCATCAAAGGCGTCTAAGCAACCACTTAACTAAGAACAGAGCAAGAGAAGGAGTTTTGAAGAGGACAGACAAAATACAGAGAGAGGTGTAAGGTAAAAATACCATCCTGGAGAAAAAATCCTTTTTTGAAAATCAGTATGTGAATTCTAATCCTAAGTGCACCCAGTGAAAGCCACAAAAGTGGAGTTTGAAGGATGAATTATCTGGAATTATATAGACTTCTGTGTTCAGTAGGTATATGGGACCATGACTCGGGATTTCTTTTCTACCGTATACCACCCCTCTTATCTTAGATTTCTTATGCCCTGACTTCTAAGGACACTCCAATCACCAATATTTTCCATTCCAGATAATATCTAATCTAAAAAATATAGAAGTGATAAATTTAGGCAGTTAATTACTTTGTCATTCCTTTGTCTTTAAAATAGTAGCAACATTGTCCATCAGCCTCACTTGAGTATTGAGAGAATAAATTCATAAATCTGAACTCTGTTCAGGTGTTATGTTGATTCTCATAGTAAAACCTATGAATTATAGATAAACCTGATAATAATTGAGAAGAAAGAGAAGATGAAGGTTTACTCCTTTGCTTGTTCTCTTTTTGCTCCCTCTAATAGCACAGAAATGAATAGTTCATTACCGCAGTCCTAAGGGTGAGACCACTTGTGACTTCTGATGCTCTCATAAATTGTGTTGGGCTCTTGAGATACCATTTTTAAAGTGGCCGTGGTTCACTTGTCATTTCTGAATCATAATTGTGTTAGACCTGAAAGTAAAGATTTTAATCCCAGTGGTACAAGTGCACTTACGCAAGCAACCCTTGGCACCTTCAGGGAACATCTTTGACTTCCATGGGATCCCATGTGGACACAGGTCCAGCCATTTAGATCCAATTGTGGGATTTAATATTTAGATCCACCAATTTCAGTTTTTTACCCACATATGTAACACAGAACTATGTATATCAGTGATGGGTAGTTGGGACTTTGTGCTTAAAAAGCAGTGGGATAGTCTTAGTGTGGTCTTCTAGAAGACACAGTGTGTCTGGGGTGCTTCAGTTGTGACTTGACAAGGGATGTACATGGCTGGAAGTCTGTATTTGTTGACTTAGTATTTGAGTCCTTTAGCAATGATGTGACTTAGTGGTATTAGTTCTTTTCCAAAAGCGGCATGGATATAGCTTGATGGCGAATGAGCAAATCGAATGGGCAGAGACCAGTCCCTTTTTCTAGCCATGGGTTTTGGCCACTTCTCTTGTGTGTGTACCGATGTTGGGTGCTGGTGGGTCACTCTAGGGAGGGCAGTGCATGGGAGCTCCCTAACCTGCTGATGCATAGGGTTAGAGACACCGTTGGCTTGGGGTGAAGGGGAAGGAAAGCAAAACTGCTGCCTTTTTAGACACCTGTGGTTACATCGTTTCAGGTGCATGGCAAAACTGCACTGTCAGAAGTGTCATGTAATGAGCATCTAATTAGTAGTGGTGTAAAAGGCCTGCTCTGTATTCAGACTTCTTAAAATAGTCTCATCTTACAGCAGGGTGAGTCAGAGGCGAATTCACAAGTTAACTTGATTTCTTTGTTTCTTACGTGTTTCTGGGTTTCTTACAGTACTTTATGTCAGTTTGCTAGTCTTAAGTCCTTGTTTCTCCAAATCCTCGTTTCTCGTGTTTCTGTGCTTCTCAGAAAAGTGCGTTTTCTGACTGCAGCCAGAGAAAGGTGAGGATGAAGATAACTACTGGAGATTATTTTTATAGCCTTTATCATTCCACAAGACCATGTGTATGCCTCACAGCAAGGCAGCTTGGTCCACGCTTAACTTCAGCTTCACCAGCCTTAGGATATTTGGGGCCTCAGAATGGGATGTAGGGAACTGAAGTGTGTGGTTTTTATGTAGAAAAAAGAAGTCCATCAGTTGTGAAGATAGCACAAATATATCCCTAGGATACAATGCTAAGATGCTGATGTGCCAGAACAGCGCATTAAGTACCCCTCAGCAGTAACTATTCCAAAAGGCAGTGTCCTGAGTGGTCTCCAATGCCCCTATATGTCCTTACCAGCAGAAATAAGACCACGTTAACTTGTGTATGTGGGAATCCTCAATATGCTGACAGTAAATGTGAGCTTAAAGCCTAATAGCTTGGTTTTGAAAACACATTTGTGGGTAACTGCGCAGAGGGGACTGAGCCAGCTGAACTGGAATTGTTTCCCCAAATAGAGTTGCTTGTGTCTTGAGAGCTCGCAGAATCAGCCTCTAATTGCAACAGTTTACAGATATTCATGCATGCATGCATGGACTTTCAGAAGTGTCTTTAAAGATATTTCTGTATTTCTGTTTGATTCACGTGGGTGACAGAGATGTGGATCATGTCAAAGAGCATGAGAAATACTGGAGCTGGAGGAGGTGCAGTACCCTAATACCCATGACGGGGGAAGACATTAGCAACAGGGTGGAGGAAGGACACACGTATTAAAATACAGAGGCTTGTCAAGACTGGTGACTGAGTGGCAAAACTAAATGCAAATATTAGGAGAAGGGAGAAAGAAAAGAAGTTCAAACAAGGTGTTTTAGCTTGAGCAAAAGCTTTCCTTATGTGTTAAGTTTTACGACACATGAAGTAGCCTCGGCTCATCTGATAAACTCCAGCAGCACCGTGTCAGCAGACTGTGCCCGAAGGGAGATATTTGTAAAATTGTTCAGTGCTTTAAAGCCATGTTCTTCAGGCAGACTTTTTTCTCGGTTCAAAGTTATTATGAAATGGCACCTTTTTGTTCCGTTTCTTCTGTGCCTTTTGCTTTTCTCCGTCCTTTGCCCCTTTCCTTTCTATCCGAGGGGCTGTTGTTAGACGAGAAGAATCGCTGTTTTTCTAACATTTCTCCAGGTGACTGATAGGGGAAGGGGGAGGGGAAACAAAATCTTCCTTTCTGATTTTTCTCACTTCAGGCGTCAATTATTCTGTGTGCTTTGAAGAGCCGTGTTGCTGAACTGCAGGAATGGCCTGGTTTCTGCTGGTGAAAATGCCTTCCAGTCATCTGCCCCAAAAGCACTGAAGTCTTTATTTGGGGGGAAGAGAAGGAAATAGAGAATTATTTGAAGGGTTAAGGAACAAAGACCAGGAAACTAAGGAAAGAGAAAACTAAAAACTAAAGGAGACTGCTGCCATCTAGAGTCGAGTCTTAAGGTTGATTGTGTTTTCAGGAGTGGCATTCAGTTGATGTACATGTGAGCACAATGGTAGAGGAAAACCCCTCAGGGCTATAGAATTACTTTCTTTGCTTTTCATTTCAGTGGGAGTAGTGGGAACTTCTCAAAGTATTTTGGAATTTTAATAAGTGCCTTTTTGTGTACAGGTCATTAGATATATTAATTCTGATTACAATTTTCTAATAGCATATAAAAATTGAGAAATAACATAGTGCTGAAAGGAGGACAACAGTTTGGAAGTAGGTACACATTTAGAGGAGGCAACAGAAAGTTGTAACCAAGCTGGATACAGATAACTGAGACTGAAAACTTTCCCTTCAATGTACTCAATATGATGCACTTTTCATTCAAATCTGTGATATTGCTCAGATATGCTGAGCAGCAAGATGTAGGTTTTACTTTTTTCGTATTTAAAAAAAAATAATTTTGAAATATAATGTTGTTAAATTCCAAACTTCATGTGATGATCAAGTTGTAGAGGGGTTTTGAGCTTTCTTTAAAATACTAATTTGGAGCACAAACTGTGTAATATGAAGATCAATCTGAAAAAGTACGTGTGTAGAAGCTAACCAAGCTGGTTAGAAGCTAAGC